GCAGCTCTCTTCACCTCTCTGAGCCTGCTTTCTAGTCTACAAATGACATGAAGCCCTGACCCCACGGTGTTGCTACACGGAGTTAAGGGGAGACCCTCCTTCAGGTCCTGGTTCAGTAGATCCTGACTAGGTGTCACAACCCCTCTGCTTCCCCCATTTATGAGACTTCCTCTTCTAAAGCAGACTTGGTCTTCTAAAGCAGAGAATGTAGCTGGTAGCATTGGGGTTGAATTCTACCCAATTATAAATGTGATTATTTGGTCTTCACAATTAAATATGTTTTAAATTAAATGACTGAATTTTCAAATTAGGAGATTTCACATGAAAATTTGGATTTCCAGTGCCTCTAGAAAAAGGCTCACTGGCCGTGTGCCAGCATGCAGCTGTGCTGAGGAGGCATACCATTCTCCAGGTCCCCCCAACTCCCTTTTGCCTCATACCTGGCCAGCAACCCAGTTCTTAATGAGCCACCTTATAGGGACAGGGCAGTCTGAGGGAAATGGGCCACAGACAGAAGTTGGTCTGGGCAGGTCCCTGGGACTCTACAATGGGTGAGGAGGTGTGTAGGCTGGGATCAGAAGCCCCGGTCCTAGACAGGGGGATGAGTCAGTCTGGGGGCTTCAGGAACTCTGAGAACCTCTGTGAAACATGAAAACACTCTTGCAAAGAAACCGATTGATTTGACCTAATATAGAGGAGCTATAGGTTAAGAGTCCAGATTTCCTGAGACAGAGTCCCTGGGCTCAAGTACTCCACTACCAGCTGTGACTTTGGACAAGTTACTAGACCTCTCTGGGCCTCACTTTCCTCATTTGCAAAGTGAGACTACTGGGTTGTTCATATGTGTGTGCTGGCACACGGTAAGCACTCTGAATGTCAGTGGCTAATATGATTCCATCCCCAAATAGGAGATTTGCCTAGATCTTTAAGAAGTGGTCTGGGAAGGTCCCTGGAGAGATCGGCCTGTGTCTGGAAATCCCAGAGACTACTACTAGTGTAACTGAGTCTGCGCCTGCCCAAAGGAAACCGCTGAAGAATCAGATGTATTGTCATCATTTGCATTTCTCGTGCCTCCACTTGGAGCCCAGTGCTTAGAGATTCCATGAAGGTCATCCCATGGGGAAGGAGGAGAGATGAGGAGAATGAGGTCTAGAGATGGCTTTTAATTTTCCAAAATACTGGTGTGGTCTGGTGGATAAGCCTGTGGGATCTGGTTCCTTCTGGCCAGTGCCATCTAACCCAGACTGTATCATGGGGTCTTCCTGTGGCAGGAACCTCATGGCAGTAGTGGGCACCCAGGGACCCAGATAGGGAGGTCTCCCTTTGGATACCAGTGGCCTTTGGGAGATAGCAGAGACCTAGGTTAAGAGCTTAGTCTCTGAGTCTCCCATTAGGCTGTCTGTGCCTTGCTCTGCTTGGTCACTGCTGGGTTCCCAGGGCCTAGGACAGTGCCAGGCACACTAAAAAAATGTATCAAATAGTGAACGAGCCAAGTCTTTCTGGGTTTGAACCTGACTCTGCTACTTAGAGGCTTTCTGGCTCACTCATGCTGTACCAGCATCATCAGTGGGGATGGTAATGGCACCTTCTTCCTGGGGGACAGGTGAGCTTCAGTGAGATATGCTGGTAAATTGCTCAGCACAGCCCCCCGCCATGATAAGTGCTCAGGGCATGTGGCTGTGATTATTACTGAGTTTGCACAGATATTTCTGAGTTTGAACCTTGATACAGATTACTACATGGGACTCTAGCCCTTTGAGTGACAGTGTTACAACTGTCATTTTGGAGTCTTTACCTGAGTATGCTGGTGGAAACAGCCCAGAGGAGAGAGGACACGTGGGTTTGGCCAGGGGAGAGGAGCCCTGGGGGCAGCCACCTCTGTTGACGAGGCGTGCATGTGTACTTATGTGTATATAGGTGTGCATGTGAGTGTGTGTGAGCCTGTGTGTGTATGTCTTCCCTGAAGGCCCCACGAGGTGGCCATGAGTAGCCCTGTCAGTGTCACGGTATGAGGCTCCCTGGTGTGGGAACACTGGGTGTGGACTGGGTGTCCACCCTCTCACCAGTCTTACCCAGTTTGCTGTGTGCTGCTGTTGTCTGGAAAGATACTGCACAGAAGCTACAATGTGTAGGACTGTGTCCTGGGTCCAGCAAGCCCAGTGACTTGTGAGTGGCTTCTGCGTCTGCTGCTTCCTCAGTGGAACCTCTTGGCCATTTTTAGGACACATACCCAGCATTTCCCTCACCCAACCCCATTTCACAGGGAAAAGAGTTGCCCATTTCACAGAGGGGAAAGTTGGGGCCCAGGGAGTCAAGACTGCTACCCAGCTGTCTGGGGCAGTTTGCTGATTCACATGCGGATTCCATAGTGGCTCCACCTGGTGATTGTGATGTGGGGAATCAGGGCCTCATCCTCTGTATAATAAGTAGACTCTCCTGGGCATTGTAATGATCAGGAGAGTAGGAAACCAGAGCAGGAACTCCGGGTTTGTACTCTGGCCCTGCTCTTTGCCCAGTCGGGCCATCATGTCACCTCTCTGGACATCGTCAGTTTCCTCGGCTGTGAAATGGGGAGAGTAGTGAGTGGTACCCACCTTAGAGGAGGGCAGTTGTGAAAATGTAGGCTGTCCTGTAGCAGTCTTAGGGCTCAGTGCACTCAGTGCATATTGATTCATGGCTCTTACTCCATGTGGGATTTATTAGGAAAGCAGCTGAGGAAACAAGATTTCTGTGGGTGTAATATCTGGGGTGTTACAGGCCACCCCCTGCCCCACCACACACACCCCTCCACTGAGTGCCGTTTCTTAGAACACCAGGAAACACCACTGGGCAGGGATGGTGACGCTGGTTCCAGGAAGGCAGTGGGGGCAGGGGAGGAAGCACGCCCCCTGCATCCCCTACGTGCTCTGGATCCAGGGAGCATAGCCCCTGTGGTCTCCACACCTCTCTGTTGGTGGCGTGGCTGAGCCAGAAGTTCCACCCAAAGCACTTCTGCCAAGATGGTCTCAGTCAGCAGCTCCTTTGCTCATTTGTTCATGTAGTGGTTCCCGTTGGGCACCTGCTCTGTGCCACACCCTGTGCTGGGGCTGAACACCATGGACATGGTACCAACTGTCATGGTGCTTCCCTTCCAGCAGGGAGGAAGGACAGTTAAATGATCGAGCACTTTCTGAGCAGGAACCTCCAGGGGACTCGGGAATGTGATGGAACTTGGTGCAGTGTTTGAGAAGGGCCTCCCCACGATGCCTCTCTGAGACCTTAGTGGTGAGCAGAGCTGGTGAGAGATGCAGGCCCATCCAGCGGAAGAGGCAGGAGGGAACTGTCAGCACATGGTGAATCTTAGGATACATCTTGGGTGTCCTGAGTGTGCCCTTGACCCTCAGCATAGTGAGGATGGACTTGAGCAGGCGAGCCAGGTTCGATCTGTGGTGTGTCCACCTGCAAACCTGTGCTGTAGAGACCGCCTGGTGCAGCCTGGCAGGGGCCAGGCCAGCAGCTGCTGGCTTTTGTGGTAGCTAGTCTTTCTTCGAAAAGGCCTCTTTGATTCATATTTTCCACATGAACTTGATGTTTTGAAAATGTTGACCTTTAACTAATCAAATGTCACTTATTAAATTGTAAGTCACATCCTATTCAATTGAAAAAGGACAATGGACCAGTGACTTAGTTTGTGGCCTGTTGGCAAGAGGAAACTTGACAGCACTTGGGGCCAGAGAAAAGATAGGTACTTCTTCAGTGACCCTCCCCACACTCCTGTCGGGGTGGGGGTTGGGGTGGGGTGAAATGTGTCATTTCTGTGAGAAGCTGTACTGAGAATGAGACTGGATTCACAGCTGAGCCAGAAGAGCTGTGACAAGGCTGGAATGCCGAGCCCAGGCAGATGGACTTCAGCCTTACTTGCAGGAAGCAAGGAGCCCTATTGGAAAGGTGAGGTCTTTTCACACAGTCCAGAGAGGAGTCAAGGCCACGTAGGCAATACTGCTTGAAGCAGAGAGCAGAGTGCATAAATAGGGAGTGAATTGGAGTGGTGGGGGACTTCCTGGAGGAGGGATGCTTGAGAAATGAGTTGGGTGAAATCAGTGGAGGGGAAGGGTTGGCATTCTAGCTGAGGCGCTCTGCTGCCCAATGAGAGATTGGGAGGCAGGGTTAGCAGGATGGAAAAGAGTGGGGTAACAGGTGAGGTGGTCCTGGTTTTGGGACCTGGATTGGGGTCTGCATATTTTGCATCAGGTGATGGGGAGTCATGGCAGGTCCTTCAGCAAAGGTGGTGCTTAGGAAGAAGAATACAATCAGGCAAATGTAAAAACTCCCTAGGGCATGGAGGAAAGGGAACTGAAAGCCCATTGGCATGAGTTAGTGTGTTTTCCAGAGAAGGTGGGTGAGTGTGCTTTCTCGTGGGGTGACTGCTCCTTATTCAGACCCTGTGGAGACAGAAGACAGATCATGGAGGCCAATCTGAGACTGAATTCAAGCATTAATATGCCTAAGGCACATTACAGACATGGTCAGCATTGGGGGAATGGGAATTACAGCCAAGGATTGGAACCCCTGAAAATCCCACAGCGGGAAATTCATAGTTGGGGGATTTGAAAGCTTTTAGTAAAGTAGTGTTGGGGCCCTAAGGCTATTAGTAGATGTTAGGAACATGTTGGTGTATGTTGAAGTTGATAAAGTTTATGTATTAAAATAATACAGTAAAGAGAATACCCATGATGTTTCAAGCATTTTAAATCAGAAGTAACAGGAACTTGTTTGAGCTTCAGTGTTCTCATCTGTGAAATGAACCTGCTAATCATGGTGCTGCTTCACAGGGCTATTCTGAAGATTAAATGGGCTGAGGCAGGTGAGACAGTATTGGACTTGGCTGGGGTAGGTTCTCAGTTAGTACCTGGAACAATTCAATTCATTGCTATTTACTACACTTACATGCTGAAAGCATAAGCATTTCTGCTCTAGCCATTTTAAGAAGATGCTTATAAATGTGTTTTATTTTCTTGCAGGGGTGCCTGGCATGACACGCTTCTCTTGAATCTAGCTCTCACTGCTTTGTGTGTAGTAATGACAAGTCACAGCCCTGGCTCCACCCCTTCCCATCTGTGGGACCTCAGGTGGGTCTTGCATCCCCCTGGGACTCACTTTCCGCATCTGTAACAATGAGCTAAAATTATTGCCCGCCCCCCCTCCCTGTGCTGGGTGAGGCGGAATGAGAGTGTTCATGAATTGTCAGCAAGTGCTCTGCCTTGGCCACCAGGCCACTGACCCCCTCCTCCCGGAGTCCTTTTATAGGACCCTGGGCAGCCCCTCTGACATGTGACTTGGCTCCCTCTCCAGGGTCTTGTCTTCTACCTTCCCTTGTAGCTCCTAGAGCAGAAGTAGTCAAATCAGGGTCTCCCCATCTGCTTTCTGCTTTACTTCCCTTTTCACTTCATGCCCCAGGCTGTTTGTTCGCCCCTCCCTCCCTTACTCATGTACGTAGAAATAACTGTGCTGGCCACTACACTAGGCACTGGGACCAGTAGTGAACAGAGGGATATAGCCTCTGCATCAAGGAGTATTTGACTTAAGCAATTAAATCAAATATTCAGTTAAATTTGTAAATCTCAATTGATTTGAGAGCTGTGAAAGAAAACCATGGGGGGGCTCTGGGACCTGTGGCTTCTGAGAGCCAAGGGAGATTGCACGCAGCGATGGTTAAGTGGCTGCCTGATCAGGGTTCAGCGGGTCATGGAAAGAGAGGGAGGCCCAGGTGAAAGCGGGGAGGTAATGTGTCACAGGTGGAAGCGGTGCGGGATGGTGAGCTGGGGAGTGCCTCGGCCTGGGGAGTCCACTGGGCCAGGCCAGGAGGTCCTTGATTAGGGCACCATTAGGAATATGTCCTTTATCCTAAGACGGCGTCAGCCCTTGAAGGTCTTCCTGAGAGGTGCACTCTGGACTGAAGGGGAAGAGCAGAGCACCAAGAGCCAACCGCAGTATCTGAGTGAGGGTGGTGGTGGTGGCCTGACTGCGCACACCAGGTCCTTTAAACACTAGAGGAACAACTCAGGACTTGCACTTAGCCAGACCAAAATCCTTGTGTTATACAGAAGAAAGTCACAGACACCCGGAAGCGTGGCGGGGGAAGGAGGAGCCTTTGCTGGGTCACCAGCCATCATGTGGCCATGATTGTAACAATCTAGACACTTCTGAGGAACCCAGGGAAAGGCTGTTTATTTAGAGCCTACTGTGTGCCCAGCAGATTCAAATTCTTAACCTTAGCTAACCTTCCCAGCCACCTGAAGTTGAAGGTCCTAGTCTCCTGAAGGTCCTATTGTCCAAAGAAAGAAAATTGCATGGGTGCTTGTGGGGTGCTAGCCCAAGATCCTGGGGCTTCTGTCTGCCAGCTCCTTCGGGCCAAAGTCTGCACTTCCCTGCCCTGTAGGGAACACCAGAGTGGGCACGTCTGTGTTTCTAAAGCACTTTGGACAGGTAACACCAGGTCAGAAAATTCTGTGTGTAGCCATGAGGGTGTGGTTCTGAGGCTCATGTTGTCTTATTTTTCATGCACCATCTAGTCCAGGATTGCTTTCAACTTCCCGGGATCCCCCACGCCTCAGTGGGCAGGGGGTGTGCTTACTGGGGAGAGCTCGGCTGCCCTACATGACCCCCTGTGTCTCCACCCCAATCTATCCTTTTAGGCCTTGGGTCCAGGCAGGGCCGTTCCCTGTAAATACCAGTCCCCTTACATGTGCATTTTTTCTCAGTGATTTTTCCTGTTTTGATGAAACACTGCTCTTGGCTGTGCAGGTTCCCAAGAGGGGACTAAGGGCCAGGCCTGGCCAGCCGGTCATTCAGGAACTTTGCTCCCAGGCCCAGCCCTACACCCAGCCTGCATTCCGTTGGAGTCATAACCTTCATGCACCATGTGAATGGGGCCATCCTTCCCCCACCCCCAATTCCCGTGGTTCCCATGGTGACCCCCTTATCGCTTTTCCCAGCTGACTGAAAAAGGTTGCACCATGGCCCCCAAATTAGCCACACACACCCTTTCTGTTTTCTTCCCGACTGATGGGTGTGAGAGTTTACTAGAGTTCATGGTCCCACCTGCGTCTGAGCCCACTGCACTGGGACCTGGCTTACAGGGCCACCTGCCAAGAAGGGACAAGGGTGGTGCCTGTTAAGTACATTAGCCTGTTCATTCTATGTGCCAGGCATTGTTCTAGGCACTGGGCGTAAAGAGTGGGAGCTGACTTATATTGTGGAGGTGTTCGTGTTGTCCGCTGGCCCTGTGAGGCATAGCTGCTCTCCTTGGCTCCACCTTGTGGGTTAGGATTGAGGATCAGAGGACACACATTGACCAGGGCTGCCAGTCGCCTCCCTCCTATAACTCTAAAGCCCCCCTTGTTAGGGGGTCCCCAGAGCCCTCTGCAGCCCTCACACCAGCTTGAACTGGGCTCGGGCTAGATTCCAGCCCTGGCTTTCCACCACAGTCAGGTGTCCTTGGGCAGGGGACAGCCTGCCCAGCTGTACACGGTGCCCTCACAGCGCAGCCAGTAGGTGGTAGCTCCAGGATGTGGAAGCCAGGTTCTCTAACTCCAAATTCCAAAGTCAGTTCTTTGGGCTTCTTGATTATCTGTTGGCCGATTTATCTTTTTGTCCACCAGTGTTTCTTGCCTTAAAGCTGTGCTGTGCCAGAGACCTTTTCTTAATCACCCAGCTCTGCCTGAGGCACTTTTGTTGAAAGTATTTGTCCTGAGTAATTACAAGTCTTAATCTTACCTTTGACGTACATTTATCCATCCCATACTCCTACATGTTTGTTCATTACTTATTCATTCCTTCAACAGACCGCATTTATTCAGCGCCAGGCCCTGTGCCAGGGAAGAGAGGGACAGGTGCTCCAGATGTGTTCCTCTTATCAGGGGGCTCTTAGCTATATGAGGGGGTGGGCTTGGGGGCACAGGGAAGGGCTGGGGGAGAGGCGTGGTGCCCTGACCTGGGCCCCGATGGTAATGGTAATAGCGGCAGTGAAGTAGCATTCTCAGGGCACCTACTCCACTCTGCCTTCTCATTTCTATTAACTCATTTAATCCTCATGACCACCCCCCCACAAGTGGGTGGGATCTGTTATTCTGAACATAGCACATACCAGGAACTAACTTGCCCAGGGCCCCAAGCTAGTGGCAAAGCCGGGACTTGAGCACAGGCATCCTAGCTCTCGGGTCTGGGCCTTCGACCACCATGCCGTGCTGCATGATGCAAGCTTGCTCAATGAAGAAATGGGAACAGTGTGTACAGATCTCACGACTGCAGATGAAACAGACTGCTCCAAGCCTCATGTGGCAGAATGAAGGCCAGCGGGCGGCTGAGTGGGAGCCATCCTGGGCTGGTGCCCCACACAGGTCCCAGGTCAGGGGAGGACTGGGCTCAGGTCTTCCAGAGCAGGAGGTCCAGAATGACCTGTGTGAGGGAGAAGTGCAGGGCATTAGCCATGCCTGTGTTTCTTCGTGAACACAGAAACACATTCTAAAGCCAGCCCCTGCGTTCTGCAGAGTTTGGAGCTCTTCCCAGGGGCCTGGGCTGATGCTGTGTGGAGGAGGAAGGGCCTGGCTAGGCGGATGTAGGCTAGGTCAGCCTGGGCTGAAGCCTGGCTCGGTTGCTGGCCACCAGGTCACTCTGGGTGAAACTTGGTACGCCCTTCTGGGCACTTGGTGTTCTCTTTCGGGTCTACCTCGCAGAACAATCCTGAGTGCTTTCCCTGGTCTGCAGGGCCCTGTGTGACCCATCCTTTCCCCTCCTTGCTGACCTCATCCTGTGCCACTGCACCCTTCCTAGGCTTCAGCCACAGCTGCTCCTTAACCATGTTGACTTCTCCCACCTCAGAGACTTTGCTGAGTGCTTGCCATTCCTCCTTCTTAGAACGCCCTTCCCAGGCTCTTAGCAAGGCTGGCTCCTTCTCTCCCTTCAGGTCTCTGCTCAGAAGGACCTGCCCTGACTACTCAGCTTGAAGTGTCCCCTATCATGCTCTATCAAATCACCCTGTGTGCTCCTGTGTAGCTGTTAGCATACTTCAAAACAACCATATCTCTTTTTTGCTGGTCAAAAAAAGTTTATTATCTGTGCTGTCCATTGAGAACATAAATTCCTCAATTCATGGGTCTTTCCTCTCTTGTTCACTCCCATTTTCCTAAGACTGTCAATGGTGCCTCGCACAGTGGACAACTAAATATCTATGGGCTAAATGAATAAGCCTCATTTTCCTCATCTGTAAAATGGGAATCATCTTACTGATCTAGTAAGGTTGCTGTAAAGATTAGACTGTAGTTAGGTTAAGGTGCTCAGTATACTGCCTGGCACAGAGCAGGTACTTAGGATTGGTAAATAAAGCAAGGCCCAGGTGTGAATTACCAACCTAGTTTAAACTAGTGTACACTGCATAGCCATGTTTTTGGACATTGCCAGGCCAGCCTGGTGCTCACCCCTAAAAACCAAGGTGATGGGTGAGGCAAGATGAGCTGAAGGCAGGAAAAAAGGACAAGGAAAAGTCCTGAAATGCAGTGGTTGTTTTTCAATGGAAACATAGGAAGAGATGGTTTATCTCAGGACCAGCTTTGCCCACTGGAAAGTTTGTAAATTCCTGCCAAGGACTTCTGCTTTTAAGATAAAAAAAGAAATGGCCAGGTATTCCAATTAATATATGGGAAAGAATGATGGAATTTGAAAACCCGCAGTAGATCCACACAGTATGAATTGCTTCAGTTAAAATCCACTGATGGGTGCCAAAGCTAGTGGGTGAAAGTTGAAGCAGAAACAAGATATCTGTACAGTCTCAGAGTATCTCCCCCCAAATATCTAGCACCTACAAAGGGGAAAAGAGTAACTACAGCAGAAAATCCTGGCAGATCCCACCTTAACCAAGTGATCAGGGCCAACACCACCAGTAATAGGACATACAGGCACCATGTGCCCTGATGTGGCCCACTGAGAAGGGCGAATCAGTGGGGTTCTTCCCAGAGCACAGCCCGACATAAACCACCAGCAAACATCGGTCAGAGCCAGTTTGAGAAAGAGTCTATAAAATAAATGGCAGTCTTTTGAAAGTGCCATAGTCATGACACACAAGGAGAGAGAC